AGTTTTTGGGTGTTTAGGATTTGCATCTACTCTTATTGCCCACAGAAATAAATTCCAACCTCGAGCCAAACCTTGTGTATTTTTAGGCTATCCTTTAGGAGTAAAGGGCTTCAAAATGCTTGATATTGTTTCAAAACAAACCTTTATTTCCAGGGATGTGATTTTTTATGAAGAAACATTCCCCTTTCACACCATTGTGGAGTCTGATCAAGTTTTGGATCCCTTTCCTGACCTTGTGTTACCTTCTATGACTTTATCTGCACCTATTGATCTTCCTGTTCAATCTATTCTTACTCATCCTGAACCATCTATACAAGAAATGCCTTACAACCTTGTCCCAGATTCTTCCACTGCCACACATAATCCTGCTCTAGAATCTCAACTTCCTAGTCAACCACACTCTACTAGTCAGATAAATCCAGCCATTAGAAAGTCCACAAGATTCTCCAGAATTCCAAGATATCTTCATGAATATCACTGTAATCTATTATCCTACACTGATCAATCCATTTCTTTCTCTCCATATCACAGCGGTAATATCATTTCATATCAAGGTTTATCCAATCCTCAGACACTTTGTCATATCCATATCATCTCAGCTTGAACCTCAATTCTTTCATCAAGCAGTCAAGGATCCTCAGTGGTGTGATGCAATGAGACTTGAGTTAACAGCCATGGAAGATAATCATACCTGGTCCATTGTACAACTGCCTCCTGGAAAGCAATCTATCAGTTGTAGGTGGATATATAAAAATAAATTCAATTCAGATGGTTCCTAGAAAGGCGTAAGGCACGCCTTATTGCAAAAGGCTACACTCAACAAGAGGGATTGGACTACTTTGAAACCTTCTCTCCTATGGCCCAGACAGTTACTGTTAGGCTGCTTCTTACGCTTGCAACACATTTCAACTGGCACTTGTTTCAATTGGATGTGAATAATGCCTTTTTAAATGGTGATTTATTTGAAGAAGTATACATGGATCTTCCACTTGGATATGATTTACTTAGATCATCCAAACAGGGGGAGAGGTTAGAATGTCGATTGCATAAATCTATATACGGATTGAAGCAGGCCTCACGGCAATGAAATTCAAAATTTACTTGTGCTCTCATTAAACATGGTTTTATACAGTCCAAGGCTGACTACTCTCTCTTCACTAAAAGTTCTGAAGATAATTTTGTGGCTTTATTAGTCATGTGGATGACATAGTAATAACAGGGCCAAACATTCAGATGATTAACTCTTTAAAGGCTTTTTGCATTCCCAATTCAGACTTAAGGATTTGGGCCATCTCAAATATTTCTTAAACATTGAGATTGCTCGCTCATCTTCGGGAATTGTTATATCTCAGAGACAGTATACTATGCAATTACTTGAAGATGCTGGATATCTAGACTGTAAACCAGTTAACAGCCATATGGATGCTAAGTTAACTCTCAGTCAACATGAAGGTGACTTACTCCCAGAGGCTTCTCATTACAAGAAACTGATTGGCAAGCTTATATACCTTACATTATCATGCCTTGATATAACTTTTGCGGTCCATAAGTTGAGCCAATATATGTCTCAGCCCCGGATGACACATCTAAAGGCAGTGCATCATCTTCTGAGATATTTGAAGGGGCATCCTGGACAGGGTCTTTTGTTCTCTTCACAAGCACACTCAAGATCCGACATTAATATTAAGGGATTTTCAGATGCTGATTGGGGCTCTTGTATTGATACACGAAAATCCACTACATGCTTTTGTATATTTGTTGGTGGCTCCATGGTGTCGTGGAAATCAAAGAAGCAGTCCACTATATCTCGATCGTCTGCGGAGGCCGAATACAGGGCTCTTGCTTCAACCGTTAGTGAGATTGTACGGATTAAACAATTGTTGAATGATTTTCAAGCACATCCATCTTCTCCAGCCATACTATACTGTGATAATAATGCTGTAATTCAGATTGCCTCCAACCCCGTGTTTCACGAATGGACCAAACACATAGAAATTGATTGTCACTTCATACGTGACATGATCACTACTGGAATCATTAAGCTTCTGCCTGTGCGTTCGAAGCATCAGCTCGCAGATCTCTTCACCAAACCGTTACCAGCTTCTACCATCAACTACTTGCTGTCCAAGATGTGTGTCAAAGACATTTACAGCACATCTTGAGGAGGAGTATTAGAAGTTAGAAGAATATTTTTTAGTTAGCTTCAGTTGGCAATTAGTTATGCCAGCTGGTAGTGTGCTTTATTTCATTTTTCCCGCCTATTTTGCTTGCACCTCTTTTTCCTTCTATTTATATCTTGTACTTGGAGACTTTTCATAATAGAATGAATATTCAATTCTTCTCTGCAATTCCATCTTTGAAGTTCCAATATAAAGCACTTGAATATTCAGGTTGTCTATTTTCTGTATACTAACCATGGAGTAATCAATAATATTTAGAATCAAAGGTAAAAGAATTTCACAGAAACCCTTACTTTGATAAAATTGTATATTACTGCAAAGTTTACAAAGAGAGTCAATTCTGAGCTAATTTTTTTTTATCCAAACCCAAGGTTTCAATCATCAGGACCAATAGAAATAGCATGTTTAGAAGGAATAAACATGCACCATATGTGTCTCCATATGGCACGGAGATTCCATGACTTGTCTCTGTGTGGTATCTCCACACACAGAGACGCCATGACGTGTCTCCGTGCGCACACGATCATCACAAGATAGCCCATCGTCATTACAGATTGCACATATTTTTGCCACCGCTTGCAAGCTGGCATCCATATTATAGCAATTCCAGTCAATTATACATCCATCCTTAGGATTATAAGTTGTGCCCTGGGCATGAAAAATTCTAGAGGCCAAAGTCTTACCTCCAAAGGTGAAGAACTCTGTCATTGACACGGGCAACTGATCTTCATTGTCTAACAAAAATCAAAAAGTTTAACGAGTTTTAACACTTTCACCTGCATCTCATGCAAAGCATAACAAAAATAATATGTTGTTGTCATGCCAGAAATAATATGTTCTTTTAACAGGTTTTAACACTCTTCCATAATTGCTCATTTCATACCAGAAGTAATCACTGCCCCTCTTTATTCATTATGTAACAAAAATAAAAAAGTTTAACATGTTTTTATACTTTTACATGTACAAATTCAAAAATTGATGTCCAAATGTATTATTGTATAAATTGACGGCCAAATCAAAAAATCACAGCTGTTATCCCATTCAAGTCTATAAAACAACATTGAAACAAAAATTCTTGTTTGGAATTCATATGTATGCTTTGTAAGATTCTTAAATTACATAATAGTTGTACATCCTAATAGTTGTATCTGAACAAATAATAGTTTTACATCCCAAGGTCTCGACACTTGGAAGTTCCCTCACGATTGCATTCATTTGTGCCATTTTCCTTGTACTCGGGGCTAAACTAGTCGTGATTACAGTCGGAAGGCATTCTGGTACTCCAACACATGGGCATTAAAACTTTATCGTGTCTCCGTGCGGCCCACGGAGACACGACCGTGTGCACGGAGACACGAGAAGGTGTCTCACGTTCGCGGCACGGAGACACGACCGACTGTGTGCACGGAGAAACCTTCATGTGCCTCCGTACGATTTTTTTTTTTTTTTTTAATACAATGCTACTAATAACATTTTTTTCAACTGTACAAATTTGATTAAATAAGTCAACGAAATATTCACAATCCATATAAAAAAGTGAATTATTTTATGTTGTTAGAGAGTTACCATAAGAGCAAAATCGGACAAATCTCAAATTCACCCAACAAAATCATCCAATCCTCATACTCAAGTCTCTAATCTAAAGCATCGATTTCAATTTTAAAACATACAAGGACACAGATAAATAAAATAAATATGCCCCAACCTTAGCTATTAACATTCCACAAATTGATTAAGTTGTTTTGCATATGTGAAGGATTTACTCTTAGGCTTTTTCCAGTAAGTTCAACTAACCTTCTCGATACTCATTTTCTGAGACCTCGAAAATTTGCTCGTAGTGCTTTTTTTGCTTCTTCTTTTTCTTCACTCCACCTGCTATCATATCCAGAGCCTTCCCCTTAAGTTTCAGCTTTCCACTGACAACATTATCAAATGCAGACATTTCTCCTGTGCAAAAGAGTATTAATCATGAATTCAATTATTCAAACCTTAGGAAAAAAATATTGATGTAAAAAGAATACAAGAGTAGGGCGAATACCAAGCATTGGTTTGTAGCCGAATCATTCCCTCTAGAGACACGAATTTCATAGACATAACAAAAACAATATATATGTAAAATCAACAACCCCATACTTTTGAAAATCAATTTCAAATATGACAAACTACTTATAAATGAATGGCTATATAATAACACAAAGAAAGGGGAAAATCTAATACAAACCTGAGGTGCTAGTCCTTGGAGTTTCTCTGTTAGGAATAAGCAATGGAAGAGAATGGGTAGTGAATGCATTGAAAGAGAAGCCATAGACACGACAATTCGGCTCTTGTGAATTAACGGTGATGGATTGACGAATGATGGGAGCGGTATGGATGAAGTCAATTGCGTGGAAAAATGAAAGAGGAGTGGGTGGTTACGTGAGATATTGGAGAAGCAGGGCGTTGCTGGAAATTTTTAGGATTCTTTTTTTTTTTTTAATGGATTTTTGACGACGATGGGAAATGGCGACACGTGTGATCTTTACTTTGCATCTTTTAATATATAGATTTATAATAACAATAGTAAACGAGTAGTAATGAATTTCACGAAATATGTGAATAATATTTATAATTTTGAATGCACAATTAAAATTAATATTTAAATTTAACTTATAAATTTTCGTTGAATCAAAGACTTAAATTTTAATCACTTATCAACCGTTGCTTTAAAAAAAAGCAACAAATGTTTGTCTTCAACTCTGAGCTCCATGTGACGAACCCCATCCAAAATTTATTCCTCAATTGCTTATAAATACAGTATACATAGATACGGAAGATATATACATGGCTACACAGAATTTAGAACCCATACATGTCATAGACACCAAGGACAAGATCGATGACAAAAGCCCTCTTCTTCTTGGTGCCTTCTTCTTGCTCTTCTTATTCTTCTTAACTTTCTTCTTTGCATACTTTCTCTATGTCTGCACCCATCGCGGCCGTGCCAGCGGCAGCTTCACCACCAATCCCTCGATATCTCCGCCGGGCCTCGACACCACCGTCATCAGCAGCCTGCCAATGTTTTCATATGGATCAAGTTCCGATGGCAAAAATTCAAGCCCAGAATCGGAGTGTGCAATTTGTCTAGGCATGTTTCAAGAAGGAGAAAAGGTGAAGATTTTACCTAAATGCCACCATGGTTTTCATTCAGAATGTGTTGACAAGTGGCTCATAACTCGTTCAAGTTGTCCTCTGTGCAGAGCCTCAATTCAAGTAGACTCAATGTGCCATGGCCATGGTGACTCGGAGATTCCATGAATTTTCAAGAGAAGTCTGGGGACCAATTTTCAATAATAGAATTTGTTTAGCCTATGTTTGGCCCATTAAAATTTTAATACATTTCCCTCTCTTTCTTTCAATCACACATTTTTTAATAAAATAATATTACACATAAATCATAATTTTTTTTTTAAATTTTAACCGCACATATTTCAAAAAAATATTAGTCTAAAAATTAAAATCTCAAATAGTGGAGACGAAACGGGGCTTAAAACCGTCACTCTTTTCATTTTATATTTTGCTTCAATTTAATCCAAAATTTGGCATTAGTAGGATCAGATCCCAATGGAATTAATGCGCATTGAAAAATGTGCCATTATTTGTAAATTGGGGACTAGAAGATGGCCGGGGGATAGTGTCCCTTTTTTCTCCATTGCACAATTTGCGTATCGATGCAGACTTACAACGCAATGGTATCAAAATGTGTGTCTCATTCAAGCCTATAATATTCTAGTCATTTTTTATTCTCACGAAATTTAAAAGAACTGTTTATTTATTTATAATTTAAACCGTATAAATACTTTTCAAATATGCATCAAAAGTTCATACAGGTCATATGATACCCTACCCATATAATTTTAAAGACCTTGACTCTATGCTTATGCACATGGATGTCCATATCGAAACTATAGTCTTGTTTGAGCCACTTTTTTATACAATGATAATGAAAAATATAGTTGTTATTGAGGTCCACACAAGAGATAGAAAATTTGAATTTAAATGCTGATGTGATAGATAACTGTCATATTTTTCATTTTAATAAGAAAATAAAGTGGTCAAAACGGAGACTACTTAAAACCTCGCGAAAAAATTTTTATAGGCATAGTAATCATTTACGTCGAATGTCAAATAAGTACTTTCTATTTTACTATTGGAAAAAAAATGGTGACTAATGTTACAATGAAAGGGAAGTCTTGATTTCTACCTCAAATTGAGTGATGAAACTTGAAATCTTGTCAAATTTGGAAGATTTTGTAAAAGTAGCCTTTTATGTTGAAGTACAAAATTACCCTTTTTGTTAAAATGACCAAACTATTTTTATGGCGAATATCACATAATACAAATGATTAATGCATAACTATGGAGACCAAACCAAATAGCTTTCAAAAAAGTTTTGTAAGTGATACATCATATTAACATATGGATGATACTATTTTTTTGTTCATTTTTTTTCTTTAAAAAGTCATGGACATTTCCCACAATTTCCTCATAATGAAATGAAAGTTAAGTGATTATAACGAGTTGAAATTGAAGTTTAATGATCTACATTAAGATTGTGTTTGGTAGAGATTAAAATCGGATTAAAATTGAAAAACTAGCCGTTATTCTTGACTTTTATTAGACAAGTGGAACCCAATAATGACTATATTTTCAATTTATTTTAATTTTAATTTATCCCAAACAAGTAGTAAATTTGGTGCTAGAAATAACCTTGAAAGCTTATAAAAGAATTATATGAGTGTCAATTCTCCAATGGTAAAGAACAGGAGGAAGTAACCTATTCGGTGTGATTTTGATTGTGCTACGCACTTCATTGATTGTTCTTTAGCTTCATCTCTCACTCTCAAATGAAGATATACGGTACTATTAATGTTCGTATAATTCTACGTCTTGATTGTCTTTTCCATCTCCAATTCGGTACCTAGGGGCGGATTCAACTTGGGGGCGGTGGGCGTCAGCTGCCCCCATACCAAATCTGAAATGCAAAATTTTGCCCTTCATTTTTGCACAAAATTTGCACAAATTTTCTTAGCCCCTGTTTGGTAGAGATTAAAATTCGATTATTAGTAAATTTTGATAAAGGTTGATCAAATGTGTGGTTAAAAAGTTGTAAATTCCATAAAATGTGTTGTTAAAATTAATTGGATTTTAATCCAAACTAAGCATGGGCTTATAATTTTTAATTTTGCCCACACACTTTAAATTTTGTAAAATTTGCCCCCACACCTCGTACTCCTAGCTCCGCCCCTATCTGTGCAGTTCTGTTCTTTCTCCTAGATGCCAGGGACGGATTTAGGGGGGAGAGCACCCCCTCCCCCCACCAAAAAAAAAATTTAGTTAGTCAAAAAAATTTTTGTAAAAAAAAAAAAAAATTTTTTTTTTTTAATGTATTAGCTCGGTCTTTAATTCTGTTCTGGATCCGTCCCTGCTAGATGCTAAATAACCCTTACGTGTTTCTTTAATTATTATTGTCATTTTGTTTTTCAATTTGTTCTTTAGTCATACTCTGGTTCTTGTCCAAATTTATTGATAATACTCGTAGTTTAAATATCTGGTTTGTAAACGCTAACTCTACGGTGATTACTTGTTTAATCCATATGCGTTTCATATGTTTGTTGAAATTCCTACACCAATATAATAATCAATTTTAACCAAAGCAGTTTGTTGAAAGAATTTATATTTCAACAAGAAATCAAATTAACGTAAAAAATTAACACGGGCTCACTCCAATGATAACCTGTGTAACTTTACAAAAATAAAAAATTAACATGGGCTCAAAATTTTTAACCATATATGACTAACAAAGAAGAAGACGAAGAAGAAGAAGATGTAGGAGAAGAACAGAACACGGTTGGTGAATAATGGCATGTGCATTTGGGATCATGAACGGCTTTTTTTCTTTGAATGTCAACTTTTGTGCAGAACACGCAATAGCTACCACGGAATTTGTCATCTTCTATTTCATCTTCTTTGTCATCGTCCTCCTCCTCGTCAGTTGTCTCGTCTTCAATTTCCTCTGCAGCCTCGACCTTCTCATCATACCTGACATAACTGAATCCATACCTTGGAAAAATGAGCTTTATAAGTCGTTCCAGGTGCTTGTTGCATTGTTCCCTCCATTTCTTGACGAATGCAAAAGGTGCAATGACAAGTGCTGCTCCAACCCCAAATCCCAAACCCGTGAATACAAACTGCCAATCAAAATCTAAACTTGCTAGGGTAGGTGCTGAATTTGGTTCTAAGGTGTTGTCCTTGCAGCTTGTGTTCAAAGGAAACCCACAAAGTTCCATATTTCCTTCATAGGAGACTTCTGAAAAAGTTTGAAACTGACGACCCAGGGGGATCTTCCCAAACAACATATTGTAGGACAGATTCAAGAATGAAAGGAATGTTAGGCTTGTGAGCTCTTCCGGTATTACCCCAGTTAGCTGATTATTTGAGAGGTCTAGCGATTCAAGCTGTGTGAGATATCCAATTGATTTTGGGATTTGGCCCGTGAGAGCATTATTTGAAAAGTTGAGGATGTAGAGAGAACTTAGATTCCCAACAGTGTCAGGTATCTCTCCTTGGAAATTATTGCTCGAGAAATCAAGGACCGTAAAGACTGAGAGAATTTTCACGAACTCCAGTTCTAACCCTTTAATGGTTACTGTCACAGTGTCCTGATAATAAAAGTTGTTCAGATTCAGAAAGTCAAATCTCAGGTGGTTGTGATCAAGTTCAGCATCATTGCCAAGCATCATTCCTCTCCAACTTAAGAAGCATTTTGGGTATAGATTTCCACTGAAATTGTTAAAAGCAATATCAATGATTTGAAGATTTCGCCAGCTGTTATTTGCCCCAGGATGACACCGAATGTCTCCCTGGAATTTGTTGGAATGCAGAACGAGGACACGCAAATTGGATGAATTTTTCAACATGCATGGAAAGTTGTCTTGAATGTTGTTGTTTCCAATACTCAAGACTTCTAAAAATTTGCAGTTGGCCAGGGATCCTGGAATCTGTCCTGATAAGTTATTCCTACTGAGGTCTAAAGTTCTCAGACTACAACTTAAAGAAAATGAATTCGGAATGGTGCTGCTGAGTATGTTTTTTCCTAGATTTAGTACCCCAAGAGTCTTACTATTAATTGATAGTAGACAGTTCGGTATTGTTCCCCTCAAGGAATTGTCGGACAAGTCAAGAACTTGAAGGTAACTGGCTTTGCATATGGATTCAGGTATAGCTCCCGTTAGACTATTATTTGAAAGAGAGAAGAAAGAAGAACTCAAAATGCTGTTGCCAATATCAACTGGAATGGAGCTATTGAAATTATTCCCCGAGTAATCTATATAGATAGCTGATGGCGGAGGGACTGGCAGATCACCCTGGAGCTGGTTGCTACGAATGTCTAAAAAATAAAGACTGGAAATATTGTAAGGTTTTTGCAGATCTCGTAGGAGATTGTAAGAAAGATTTAAATGAACAAGGCTTCCACGTCCAACTTCCCAAATCCAATTAGGTATTTCCCCCTTAATTTGATTGTCTGAAAGGTCTAAGAAGGACATTTTTGATTGGTTCCTCAGATCAGGAAAACTTTGTAGGTTGCAGGAAGCTAAGTTTAACCTGGTTAACTGTTGAAACGAATATGAGCTCGAAGAACTATTGCTTGTATTGATTTTCAAGCGATTGTGAGCAAGCTCCAGTCTCGTGAGGTTTTGGAGGTTATGGATATTTGCCATCTGTACGGTGCCATTAAAGAAATTGGCAGAAAGTAAGAGAACATTAAGTTTTCGAAGTTCAAAGAAAAATTCGGGAATTGGCCCTTCTAGAAGATTACTACTCAGATCGAGTGTATCTAATTGAGAGAAGGGCGTAGTCGAAGATTCATTGACTTGGCCAACTAATTGATTGTTAGACAGTTGGAGTTTCTGCAGCAATGGGAGCGCAAACAGAGCGGGGGGGATGCTTCCTCTGAGTGAATTATACCCCAAGTTCAAATATACAAGATCATTAAGTCCCTCAAAATTCCTGGAAGAAAGTGAACCTGTTAGACCGTTATGGGATAGGTCTATATAGGTAAGTTTCTTGGGACATATTGAACCATGGAACAAAACCAGTGAGATCATTAAATGATAAGTCCAAATAAATGAGTTCGGTGAGATGTGTTATCATGGACGGAAGTTTTCCACTGAAGTTGCAATTGGACAGATCAATCCTAGACAACATTACAAGGTTACCAATGGAATCAGGCATTGGGCCTGAAAAGTTAGTGCAGCTAAGAATGATTCCTCTAAGAGATCCGCGCTGAGGAAATTGGGGCAGATTGCCGTTAAGTAACTTATTATTTGACAAATCCAGATTCTGTAGAGTGGGTACCTGGAAGATATTATCCGGAAAGAATCCTTGCAAAGAGCATGAGCTGAGGCTTAAGCTTGTCAATCTTGTGAAATTTGCAAAGAAGTCTGGAATTGTTGTGGACAGATTGTTCATGTCAAGGCGGAGAACTGAAAGAAGATGAAGCTGTGAAAAGGAAGTATCTATTGGGCCCGAAAGATGACAACTAGACAAGCTCAAATTACTTAAATTTGGTAAGGACGAAGACAAAGCCTGGCACCATTCATTCCCCGGAGCTGATATATTAACACCATCCAGATAAAGTCCTTGAAGCTCTTTAAGGTTCTGAACAAGCGTTTTCAGATTTGGATTCTCAAGTTTCAGTGGCTGAGTCCCAGGGAATTGGGTAGAGAGATCAATAGTAACCAACTTCGTCATCCTCGAAACCTCAATTGGAATCTGTCCAACGAAACCAGCATTTGACAAGTTCAAGTATGTCAAATTCACAAGATTATAAATCACTTTTGGAATCTGCGTGTCGTTGAATCTGTTAAAAGCCAAATTCAGCTTCTCAAGATAGTGAAATCCAAAAAGACTAGTCGAATTCTCAATTCCACCAGAAATCGATTCGTTATCCAGTTCCAAACTGATCACATGCCCTGAACTATCGCAGGCAATCCCCTTCCAGATGCAACAATCCTCGGACTGATTCCAGGTCACCAGCTTGATCGAATTTGTCTGGTTGAAGGTGACAGTGTTTTTCAATTGAATCAACAATGACCGTTGATCATCAAGACATTGACCAGAAACCAAGACAGTATTTGTGCCTGATAAGATTTGGGAAAGAAAAGCCAAGAAAAGCCATGAAAACAATAGATAGCTCATTTGTTGTCAAGAACACTCATCAACTTCAATTTCTGCCTTCTGGGGTTCACAGCTGAACACCGTTTGTTTGTATTTGACACTGAAATTCCAGGAGAGAAAATTCAAGGTAAGAACCGGGAACTCCGCGTTTTATCTTATTATGGTATGGGCCTCGTACAGATACACCATACGCGTTTATTGTTGGCTTTATTTTATTCACAAGATGACTTTGGAGCCTACTTTATTTATACGATTAATCGTTAGGGGTGAACGCGATTCGATTTGGGCGGTTTGTGCCATGTTTTAACTCAAACCATTTCATACGGTTTGAAATTTTTTCGAACCAAGCCAAACCATTTTATTTTTCGAACCAAACCATAATTTGTGGGTTGGTTCGGTTTTAATTCGCGGTTTACATTGTAATAATATATTTAAAATAAGTTAACGTATAAGTATAAACAAGAATTAATAACATTAAATATTAAATTACATTCATCTTTCCCACGAAACTCGTGAATAAATTATTTTCAAAATTGGTTGATAAAAGATGTTAATAGAATGAATATATATTTCTTTCTTTTTATTTACATTTTCTTGTTTGTCTTTCATATTGTCATATAGTGGTTGGTAAAGATAGACTCACATTCTACTATAATAGTTTGGTTAAAACTCCTTTCGTTTTACTAGTGAGATGAATATAGTTTTTTTATTTACGAATATAGTTTTGTTTAAATGTACAAAGAATGATANGGTGGAGGAGAGTAGAGGAGGCAACTGTGTGGCGGAGGCTGCAAGTTTGAAACTAACTTATGACTATGGACTGCGAAGGATGGAGTTGTTGAGGAACGAGTCCGGAGGCGAAGACTACAAAGTGCCAGAGGCGGAGCAGGGGAGTGGAAGCGGAGGCTTCAGACTGCGAAGTGGAGGCGGAGCAAAGGAGCAGTCGAGCAGAGGATGGAGTTGTTCACACAATCAATATGCTCCATCCTTCTTTCTTTCTAAACCACAAACAAGTTCATTAAGTTAGATATCGAGTCAGAACGTGTATTGTTGACTATATAATCATCGGCCAATAATGATGAACTTAATTTACTTTATATTATTATTTTAATGGTTTGATTGTAATTTGTATTGCTAAATTGTTATTTTTTTTTAAAAAAAAAAAGTAAAAACTTTAAAATTTTTAAGTTAATAAAATTAATTTTTTTAATTAAAAGATTAAAAACGGTTCGGTTCGATTTTATGCGATTTTTGAAAATTGAAATATAAACTAAACTATTTTGAAACGGTTTGATTCGATTTGAATGAAAAAAAAAAAACTACGGGTCCACGTGGACCCGAACCAACGGTTTCAAATTAACGATTTTGGTTCAATTTGCGGTTTTACGATTTTTTTGTGCAACCATACTAATCGTGGCTCTGCTCTCTATGCTTGAATTACATGTATTTTGGCCCCGCCATTATTTGGCAAAACCAAAATTTTGAATAGTGAATTTTTGAAAAATGTATGGTTGAAAAGTATGAAAAAAATTTGAATTTACGTAAAAAAATATTTATTATGTAAATATGTGGTTGAAAATGAGTACGTAGAATAAATTTTTTTTGAAATAATCGGTAGGTTATATTTGAGGCAAGCACTGGCATTGGCGTTGGCTCTTCTCCCTCTCTCGTGTAATTCACTGACCAATTAAAGTGGTTTTAATATTTTGTTTGGATTTTCTCGCGTTCTTAATATTTTTAACTAAAATTACTGATAAATTGACTGGAATATAGAAAATTCTGTGTAGTCGATTGTAAAATTTACTGTTTATTGTTATTTGTTTTTCGTTCCCGAATGATTTCCCTCTCTCTTTCTCTCTCTCTCTCTCTCCAAATCTCAGTGCCATTGGTGGAAACAAAATAAAGGTTTAATAAGTAAAAAAGGGGTTATTTCTCTTTCACTTATTTCAAAGCACATATTTATTGAAACTAAGTAAATATTTATTAATTTGTGATTAAAGTCGTTGAGATGATGGCTATGTGCATGCTTAAAATCTTTGATTCTCTATACTTGACATTTAAAAAAATATGGTAATGTTTGGCATGTTTCCATCATCGAAAAATAAGACATGAAAATTTTTCATGGCAATCCTCTTGGAGTGTGTAACACACTTCTTCATATTTCAATACTTCAAGGTTGACCATACAATTTTTTCCGCGATTCAAATAAGCTCATTTCTATATCAATTGAAAAATCTAAAACATCTGGATTCTAAATAATCATAAAAATCTATATTAGTTTTCCTAACTGGGTTCCATTATTTAAAAAAAAAANTTCATTAGCAAATAATAAGCTATTCCTGACATTGTAGCTCCAGTAGAGCCACTATCCTAGACAATATACGATTGTCACCTAAACTTATGAGGCTTTGGATACATGATTAATTAGATCTAGTTCGAGTGGTAGAAAGATAGCCTATTTTTGGTCTCCTTTTTTTCAAAAATTCATTTATTTCAAAACTCATTTTCAACCACACTTTCTCCAATAAATAATTATACACATAAATGAGAAAAAAAATCTTATTTTTTAATCACACATTCTCCAAAAAATCACTATTACAAAACACATTTTCTTCAAAAAATTAATTTTAATAGAGCCCAAATAGGTCTACCACCTTGTCTTCCAACGAGTTCTACTGAATTGGAGTCTACTAAGGTAGCTCGACTGCATAAATCTTGTGTCTCTTTACCTATACTTGTTGGCACATATATATTATGAAAAATCACGAACAAAATTTTTCAAATTCCAACATTCCAATTAATCTTAGTGCACTCATTGTTCATTTTATAATCTTTTGAGTATTTTCAAAAAATTCTCTAAATATAGAATGCTATTTACTTTAAAAAGATAATGTTTGAAATAAGCCCAAAAAGACACTCAATTTTAGCTTTTTTAAATAGAAAGTTAGTTTGACTATTCAAATTTAGAACATCTTCGAGAAGCTTTTTACTCATTATAGTGAACATCTTTAAATTTAGAGAATCAAAATTTTATGTACTTCAACAATGTTATATATTTTGGTTCTTCATTTTACTTTTCTCAAGAAACATTTGTTGATTTCTCCTCATATTTTATTTAACATAATTTTTTAAATGTCAATGACCAATCAATTTGAGTGTGGTTTGAGTAGTTTAAAAAGTACAGTATTGAAATTTGTGATTTATTAAATGCAATCATTATAATAAAAATAGAATTTGAGTTTTGCTATTTAAATTTGGAGAGCCCAATCCATCTTCTATTTTAAAAAGTTCAAATAGAGGGTTCATTGAAGCTTATTTTTACGAATTAACTCTTTAAAATAAAGAATATTTTGAATTTAAATAATTTCTTCGAGATGCTCTTAGAGAGAAACTCACTATCTATTCTTAATTTACTATTGCTGAAATCAATAAGGTGCATAGTTTAATGCTATGTTTCTTAAGTTATTCAAATCACATTTAAATTGATTGATCATTGACGTTTTACTCTCTAAATTTAACGATAACCTCTATTATGCATAAGATGTTGTTTATATATAATGAGTCTCTTAAGATGTTCTTATGTTGTTACTCGACCATCAAGGATACAATAGGTACAAAATTGGATTGAACTAAACAATATTAACATGATTTTAAGTTTTTAACTTGTGCTTCTTACTTAGTCCCTCTGTAGTAGAGATTAAAATCTAAATTTTAATTTAAATCAAAATCAACAATTATTTCTAACCATATATTTTATGAAATTTATAAATTTCAACTATATATTTTATCAATTTTTTATCTGATTTTAATCCCAACCGAAAAGATCGAGCATCATCAACTACAGAGTCTACACTCTAATAAACAAGCAATAAATGTACCTAATCCATCGCCAAAAAAAGTTGATGGTTCTAACTCTAATATTGACTTCTATGTTAGGGTGGGGCCCTCCCACTTGGGCATTAGAAATTGTTTGACAAGTTGTGGTAAGAAAATAAACAAATAAATAAAATCAAACCGGACATGAATACTACAGTTTGTTATTCATTGGGCACTTTGGTTTGATTTTCAATGCATCATCAAAATCCAGTCTTCCAAAACCAACCCAACTTGACCCTCTGAGTTTGCGTGTTGACTCGGGCCCCTAATGTGGCAGAAGTCTCCCTAATTGTCTACACTTTCGGGTCTTTCCCCCAAATTCAACTTCTACATATATTGTGACTTACAAGTATAATTATAAATGTCAAGACTAATTGTAACCCTGAGTTGTAACACTATTAAACAATGTTGATATGTTTGGTAATAAAGTTTGATTAACACTTGTCTTCTTTACTTTTTTTTTTTCTATGAGTATCAAATATATTTTATACACAAGAAGTTATGACTAAAGTAATTTGTTTGGAAGATGTGTGGTAAAAAAATAATTAAAATTTTCAAATTTACGAGTAAAATTATTCTATTTTTAAAATGTAAAGTTGAAAGTGAACTCAGGGAAAAAAAAAATTAAAAAAATTAAAGAATGAAACTCAAACAAGGACTATGTATAAAATGCTAAGAATAGAAGAAATTTCCTAATA